CCAAGGAATTTAGAAAGTGTCTTCAAAATTACTGCCAAGTTTAATATCAGACTGACCTGACCATTAACCCACTTTCCAAGCTTTGAATTATTTCTCTAAGGTACATGTGTCAATGGAATTTGAGCTGTCTTCGTGAATGTATTCACCTTTTATTTTTGGGTATATTTTAATGTACATCTTAGACATCATATGGTTACCCTTTGTCATCACATTTTCAAGTTGAATCACACCAAGTATCCAAGAGAACTTTCAACACACTATAACCAAAGAGCTTGGCTGTGGTCCACTCTTATTTTCCATGTATACTGTATGAGCAATCAATTCACGTGGCTGTTCTTACACTGAGGATCTAAAGCTACACTTGCCTTTCTCTTCATTTACTTTCCATGTTTTGTAGTAGATAATCAACTGCAAACATCTCTTATTAGATAAAGACTCCTCAGCCAAAATTCTGTCTTGAAAAGACTAGATTGATTGACACCCCGTCAAAATATTTAACAGTGCTTACCATTAACACTCTCACTGTTCATCCCTCTTATAATTTTAAGAGCCTCAGAGGTGTTCTGTATGAACAGAGAACATTACATACACTATTAGAGTCCTACTCCATTACATTAGAAGAGAAGATCCTTCCTGACAGCAGAGGCTGCCCATGTTCCTACCCACACCTTCATTTCTAGACTTCACTAATAACATTACTTAATATCTATCCTATTTGGACTCTATTGATCTATAAAAAAAGTTCTCTCATGTGATGCTCTTAGATCACTCTGCTGTCTCCTGGTGGAAGTAATGATCAATTACAAAACTCTTGACTTTGCTTTTCAAAGCTGAAAAGTACCAGCTCTACACACTCTCCAAACCATGATACAGAACTACACCCTAGTGGGGTAATTCATATCCACCTCCTCGGAATGCCTGATATGTTCTTCCTTAACTCTTAAATGCATACCTCTGGTCACTAGCAGCCAGTGACCTCATTTGCCCTCCGACTTTCTTTTCATGTTCTTTAGTTACGTCCCCAAATCCCAAAATGCTAAAATATCTTATTAGTTTTACCCTATCATGGTAGTATGTAGAGTAATTTGTGCTAGGTTAAGAACTAGGTTGCTAACAACCAAAGGTATGCACGATTGTGAAACACCCATGCATTTGAAGGTGAAAGTCTAAACATGCTCTAAACAAGGCAAAATCTCATTGCTTTATTGTTCCTGCCCCTCTGTAGTGGAACAATTGTAGAACTTTAGCTCAAAATGCCCCATCCCTAAAGTCCTTCTATTGTGGTCTGTCCTGTGCGCTGTCATGCTTGGCTTGCTTTGTGACAATGTCTGCTGTAAAAGCACTATACAAATTAATCTGAATTGAAATGAAAATGTTAAATATGATTTTTGTCTTTTTGGTTATGCATTGGTTCAGATTTGATATGTTTTCTTTATTACCTCTCGTTTCCATGTCAACCTGGAGCATCTGCTAAATGAGTGAAAGTAATGTATCTATCAGTAAATTAGTATCAGTTAGAAGGTTTTATTTACGTATGCCTGTTTCAGTAGAACTCAGCCACGCTATTATTCCTAGAATAAAAGCTAAAAATTTCAAACAGATCAAATTGATAAAAAATGCATCTGGGAACATCAACACGGGCAATGAATAGCTAAACATGCTATGTAGCTGTTCAGCGTATGAGAAAACTCGCCTTCTGAAACACATTCATCCTCTTAGGCCACATTAAACCATTTATTATTTACACATGAATTTGTATTAAATCAATGTAGGATAAAGCATTTGTTCATAATCAGTGGTTTGCTTTGTGTAATTTCCTAATTTCAAAACCATTTTGTTGCTGCAGAACATCAGGTATTAGTATGGTACAATTTACTGTTGAGTTTGACTTCAGGGCCTGTTCAAAGTAGCATGATCATTGCTTCGCATTTTTAGCCAGCTGTAAACGGACATAAATTGCACAAATTACAGGGAACCACATTGTTTGCCGCAACACTGAAAAAGATTGTTAAAAAGTACAGGTTGTGGTTTTTTCATCAAATAGTCCAGCTTTTATGAGAGAGGCCTTGTCAGCTGTCATATATAAGAGGGAGGTTGTAAAGCAAAACTATAATGACATCATTGTAATGAAGCATCATTGATCTCGGGCCTGTTTAATGGAAGGCGGCCCAGCTTTCATCTTCTGCCAGCCGCTCTTTTTTATGATAACACTGCTGTGGTCTCCTTCCCGACACCTTTATTGTTTACAGAAGGGACTCAGGAGGCCTTCTTATGTTGTTCTCTGTCCTCTACTCTGGACTGCTTTGAAACATAAAAAAAAACTCTCAAGAATGCATGGACTTTAATGGTTTTCACACCTTCCTTTTCTATTCAAACTTTGTCCAATCTGACCTAATTAACTAACAGGGCACCAAAAGATTTTTTTTTTTTTCATTTTAGTTTCTCTTACTTCAACTGCAAACTCTGAAGTACAGAGGCTCAAATGTCACACAAAAAGGCAACTTTGCTCTTGTGAGCCATTTGTAACATGTCCAAATTCAGACCTTTTCTCCAGGCCTTTCAGCAAGCTACTTTTAATAAACAGAACTCAAACATGTGTGCTTTGGTTCTCCTGGCAACTGCGCTTGGCAGACTTCTCTTCCCTGCAGAATCAAACAAACTCAAAAGTTCTTTCATTTAGTCATAGTTGTTCATGACCTAAAGTGGGAATACCATATTGCTTCAAGCGCCGCCAAAACGTTTCATGACTGCTTTAAGTATTTTAGCCTCTATTGATTTTTTTTCCCCTTTTCACAAACAGGTGGGGACTCAACAGGGCCAGGCAATTTCTGTAGTTAATTCATGAAATATGTGGAATTTATAAGACACAGTAGGGTGTAGGGAGCAGTCAATGAGTTGCTGCTGACAGAGAGGGGGGAACATAAAATGGTTGTACTCTTTAATGCCCACAAGATGTCGCTAATTTCATAAGGTTGAGTAGGCTTTAACTCATGGGTCACCAGTCTTATTCACAGAGTCAGTGTGGCTGCAGGTTTTAACTCCAACCAAGCAAGAGCACACATCATATAATAAAGCAATTATTTGAAGACTGAGACTATCATATTAATTAAAAAATCAAGAGTGCTTTTGCTTGATTTGAATGAAAACCTGTAGCCACACCAGCCCTTTGTGGATAAAATTGGGGAACCCTGCTTTAATTACACAAACTAACTCACTAAAAATATTCCTGAGTTGGATGTATCCTTGGAGATAACCTGAAGAAAATTAAAGCAAAACTCAGCATTGCTACTAAAGGAGAAAAATATTCTGTTAGGAAAAAATAATTACTCATCTTTCAGTGTGTTCTCATATTGTCTGAACACATCATTTCAGGTGCCTGAACAGTAGCATTTATGGATTGTGTCATTGCTTTGTGTTGACTCGCTTTCAGAATTAAATCTATTAATATTTAATTGTGCTTTACAATACTATTACAGTACTGATTGGTTTAGAAACTGAAATTTATATTTTTGCTCTATAACAGTTGTTACAAATTAAAATAGTGAAGTAAACTCAAATATACAAAGCCTACTGTAATTGAATTATACTATAAATAGTACAGTTATAAAGAAAAATGTACTTAATTACTGTGACGAGAGTAGCTGTAATTCGCTACTTTCCAGTTCTCACCCTAATTTTACAGTTAGTGGTTAAGTCTAGTCACAGATTAACTGCACAGCGTATGGAAATGCTCGATTGAAAAAGCCTTTTGGTATTTTTTACAGACACGTTAAGTGAGTCTAAATAAGTGTACAAGTGTTAAAATCTTTGTGACCAGTCATTAATTTTCTGCACAGGGATTGTTAGCTGTCCTTGGCTCATTAAAGGCATTACTCAAATGCATATTGTATATACACTGGATTGTATTCCATGATCCAGGAATAATTGGGACTTGGCTTTGGGACATTTTTAATGCAATCCAGCACAAGTAAAACCACATGGATGATTAATAAAATAGAATTAACCCAAACAAGCTATTTCAAATGAATAGATTTCTATGACTATGGCTGTAAATATTTCTGTCAGAAAACCAGTGTACTATATCCACTCTTTTGTACTCATTGTGACTTTGCCTCCTGCCAGAACATTCTTGCTAATGTAGAAGCAGGGCCTATAGTATTGTAAAAAAAAATGTAAGGGTTTTTGTACACATATAGATATTAGTAGACTGATGCGACTTGCTAAACATTATAGGTCAACAGATTTTCCCAGATTTGTTCCTCAACTGCTGTGTAGTGAGTGCTAGCAGGTGACATGCATTAATATTCCATCTACTGGCCTTACTAGCCCTGAGTTATTTATTATTTTTGATTAAGAAACCAGGATTAATACGCAATGCTTAATAACTACAGTGCTTGACACTTACAAGAAATAATCCAGATTTGTCTTCACCTGACTGAAGTTACATGCAACTATTTGCTAAAATCACTGTTTGTTAGCTTTGTGGGCCAAATTTGAAAATGACCTAACAAATATCAACTAGCCTTAGTCATAGACTGTAGCTATTACTCTTGGAGCAAACCACTGATGTAGGCCAGAAACAGTAAAATCAGAGGTTGTATAAAGGTTCATAATAAAGCCATGTTTTGAATTCAAGAGAACAAAACAACAAGGTCCGACTCGTGAATCGTTCTGTTGAACCGATTCCTTAGAATAACTATCCAATCGATTTGCAAATCCAACTGAATCAAACGTATTTTTAGAGCATCTGCTCAATGATAGTCCAAGTAGACTGTAGAACTATAATTAAATAGCTTAGAATAATCTTAATATATGCTAAATAATATTTTCCCAATTTAACCTCATAAATTCTGAAAAAAAAACATTAATTCCATCGGTGAGTAGAAAACATTGTGAAACTCCAAATCAAACTCCAAAACATTGGTCCCTATTGGAACGTAAACGTTTACGTAAAATGACGCGCAGAGCGTGAGAGGGCCAATTGGAGACGAGGTGGGCGGGGCCTGAACACCTTAACTACAGAGTCGTAACCGCAAACGTTGTTCTGCGATACCACTAAGTTCTTCTGAGTAACGGAAACACGCCTCTCGTTGGGATGAGCTGTAGTGACTCAGGACCTGCGACAGACGCGATTATGTTAAGATAGCACTATCCTAACCTCTTCCCACGATGGCCTGCGAAAGTTTAGAGGACAAGTTTCCTGGCCTCAAGGCCGACTGCCCTCATCTTCATTCCTCTTGCGCGTGTACGAAAAACTGCGGCAGCTGCAGGTTCTTCTTCGGATTCTTTGTTGTCTCGCTGTCGTTACACGTGATCACGCTGTCCTGCTTTCTCGATCTTCGGTCTGAAGTCAAACGCGAGCTCTCGCAAACTAAAAGGCAGCCGATGTTCAACGCTGTCGCTGAAGATATGAGGAGACCCAGCGTTCCAGCAGACCCAGAAGTAAACGCCAACGATTTACTCTTCAGCTCTAATGTAAGCAAAAGTCTCCAGAACAGTTTTAACCCTAAGTATTGACTTCATAGCAGCGTCCCCCTGTGTTGAACTGAATTTGGAGTGCATGCAGTGAATGAACACACACAGTGGTCGTTTAAGTCGGACTGGACACAGTCGAACGGTATGGAAGTTAGTTAATTAAACACTGGGCATTTTCTGTGTCCCATTGTGTTTCTCACTAGCAATGTTAAGTTATAAGGCTAATTTCTCTTAGCTGTTAGCTGCCTAAGGCTCTGCACTGATTGCTGTGTGTCCTCAATGCTTCAAGGCAACGATGATTACCCTCTTAACTGTTAGCCGCCAATGACTCCTCTACTGCTGTGTCCTCAGTGCTTTCCAGTCACAATGCATGGTTGTTGCTCTCTTGGCTCAGCTGTTAGTTAACTTAACCAGTGGCACCTAACTGATGCTTAAAATCGCTGTTACTGAGGTAAGCATTGTGTGAGCTCCCCAAAGGAGAATGGGTGTAGTTTCCTCCTTAATGACCACCATTGGCTTCCTAATTTTCTTTAAAAAGGCCAGGCAGCCAGCTACAGGTAAAATGGAAAGTAATCAAACAGTCTAATTGCTGTTATATATTTTGGGTTGCAAGCTAATATAGTAGTAGATACACTTGTGTCATAAAAAATGTTCAGCAAGTTTTGGTTTGGTGTCAGTCAGAAACTACATTTTGCTGCATATTATTATTATTATTATTATTATTATTATTGTTATTATTCAAATAATGAATTGTTTATTATTAATTTAATTCCTTTTTAACCTTTGATTTCTGTACTTGAAAATGAATAGCGGTTGGTCTTGTTGCTTGAAATAGCACTAAATTTTTTAGTATACTTTAGGAACCACCAGAGGGGGTCAAATACTTTCAAAGCAAACCCTTATGTCAAACTGGGATATGCTGCTGTGAACTGTGCCTGTGACATTTCGCATATTTTGTGAAGTAAATTCTAAAAGGACTTCTAAATTCAGTTTGAAAAACTGTTTGTCCATTAGAATTTGAACCTAAAATTGCTTTGAGACTGGCTGGATATTTTGAACATATGTAGAATATGTAATGGGCAGTGATGAACATGCATGTACAGATGAAGCTACTCTGAGCAGAAGGTATTCTTTTACATAAGACTCCTGCCACTCAGATTTTGCATAATTTTACAAGATTAAACTGGTCTCAGATTATCCTTGAGGTTTTATAGGGCATTTGCAAGCCACTTTTCCAGAATGTTCAGTGTACAAAAAGATGATGTTATGTGATTATTAAGGAAATTCATAATCATCAGCAGTGAGCTGGATTGAATGGAAAGGCATAGTGTTGGACCTGTTTGCTGTATCAACATCTTGGTCAGAGTTTAACATTACAGTTCGTGGTAAGGATCCACTGCACAAACCACTCAGTGCAACTTTGTATATGTATTTTTGATAAATACCGTTAAGATGAGAGCCCACCAAGCACAGTTTTCTCTAACAAACCCAAATGTTTAGTGCGTTGGTGTGTTATACTCATTGGTAGGCTTTAGTCTTTTAAATCTGGACCATAAATACAGTTTTTGGTCCTGTATTTTGTAATTTCTGGTAGTTCATTGATGTTGTGATGAACCTGATTGACCACCTATTGACAAGCATATCAAAATCTAGGACTGAAAACTGGATTTAGAATGCTCTCTCTCATGCACACTGGTTCATTTGGCCTGTCAGTTCTTATTCTGGAACAGTAGAAAGCCAGTTGCCAACATTAGAACGTTGGTGTTTGTTGTCCGCACTTTAATTTTGTTCTAGACTAACATCTGTGAAAACGGATTAAAATGGCAAGGAAGTGCATGCTCTAGTCTTCACAGTAGGGTCCAGCTTTACATGAGCTGCATATATACCATGATCTTTTACTGTAATGCTATGTGCTAAAGAAAGAGAAAATTGCACTTGGGGAGACCCGTCTCACTTGAATGTTAACAACTGGAGCGTGATAAAGCAAATATGCATAATAGATGGAACAGAGAAAGCCGAGCCTTGGCGGTGCTGCAAAGCAGATGTTAGGCTGGATCTACAAGGCTTGTTTCATCTGTTTCTGTAGTTGTCCCAAATTGGAAATATTTGAATCCACAATGAATAGAACTGCATGCCATATGGAAGATTTAGGGAGCAGTTGACCATGAGGTAGCAGGTGGAAAAACATTAGCCAAATTACTAGCAGGTGCACCAGCTTTTGGAAATTTAGTGGGGCTTGGATGAACATCAGGAACTTGGACGTGTGCCATTCAAATTTGATATGTGGCTATTGAGTTGCGGCATCAAGCTTTGAAAGAGTAGGAGATGGAATTAATCATTAAGTTCCAGACAGTTCACGCCACTGCAATGGCATGAACACCCCCCACCCATAAAGAACAGAGTGGAGTGTTGTACTTGTTGTTCATTATCAGCTTTTGATGAAGTGCACGTGCAAACTGTATCCATGTCTAATGGTGATGGCAGATGACGAAGAGTCAAAGATAAAAGAGCATATGCATATGCCTTGAATGATGTATGTTTATATTAAACAGTATAGTAAAAATATTTGCTATAAGGGTTTCATTTGTTCAGCTGCTCAAAAACCAGTTCAAGTCTCAGATCAATACATAAGTGAGTACTAAAGCTGATATAAAAGTTATCTATACTATTTCCTTTTCCCCTTATTTATAGTCAGTTTCAAGGGTGTATCTCTCACTGAGGTGCTTTCTTTAGCCAGCAGTGTTGGAGAGTCAAATTCTTTTGCTGGCACTTGCTTGGAGAGAGTTTGAAGCCAGTCAGTGCTGTTTAACATTGTTGAAAAATGCAGTGTCCAGAGACTGCATAGTGCCATGCCATTATGCAGTCTACCACAAGGCACAGGTGGACAGGGGGCCTCTGTTATTATTCCATGAAAATGAGAATGCAGTCAGTTGTGTTCTCAAGAATTGCCAAAATTGTGCATCACATTTGGCATTCCAGTCTGAATTCCACTTGCAAGCCTTACTCTAAATGCTAAGGGTCAGCAATATAGCAAAAATATAACACCACAATACTTTAGGTTTGATAAGTTGGAACAGCCATGATGCACTAGCAAAACAGTTGTTCTGTCCAATGTTTTTACAGCTGATCTCTACTTCCAATCAAACAGGACAGATTGTGCTCTCTTGGAGTCTCAGCATCATAGGGATTTGAACTTGCAATCTCCTGACAACATGGCAAAACATACATCTACACCACTTAAGAGCCCTGTCTACATCTTTTTTTTTAATGAAACACACAGTAAGTCCGTGCTTTTTAGGTACAAACAATACCCACAAAATACTAAAAAAATATTGTAAGTATTTATCGTGATATTATATCATTATATCATTCACCCCTAATGGGTGCTACTCCGATGCATGCAAATCTGTGACAGTTAGTTAGACTTGAAAGAAACTTTGGTGTTAAATACCTGACATTGTTTCTGTGGTTGTTTTTGCTGGGAAAAAAAAGTCTGAGAAATGTCAGTGGTATTTAGGCCAGATGGTGATGCTCTGTGAGGTAAAAAACTCACGCAGCTGTAAACATTTAACGGCGGTGCTGTCCGATCCAGATGTCTGCATTAAACAATCGTGATTACAGATACCACAGTTTACATAGCTGAAGAAACAGGAGCATGTGGGACCAAATAGACTTGTCTCACTTGCGGACTGCCAGACAGCTCCACTTTGAAGATTTAAAAGCGCTTTAATTAATTGTTTCTTTTTTATGCGCATGCCTTAATTGTTGGCATTCCAACACCTGCTAGCTTGCAGTGTCACCAGGCTTTTAATCAGGGCCATGGAGGTAAGAAAGTTCTTCATGGAGAACAAGGGATCCAGTGTTAACAGTGTGTATATGTGTCTAATATCCAAAGTAATTTATTCCAAATGCTCTCAAATCGCTATGTATGTGCAGCAGAGAGGTTTTTTTTTTTTGACAGATTTCCACAATGAGGCTTGAAAGTTGGCTGCGAGAGCAGTTCAGAAAGCCACGTGTTGGAGTGTTCGTTGACACTTCGTTGACTTGAAACCCCTATGCCAGCACCTGGATCCATGCTGTGGAAACACCTGCACACCAAATGAACAACCCCACTGAACAGGAGAACATCTGGGAACTTGTGTGCAGATGAGCCATTCAATCACTGTGCTTTATCAGCACTGGGGTGTTATGCTCATGACTTCACACATACAACTGTTTGTTCTTGAACCCAAGTTGACTTTTATATGACACTCCCAGTAGTCAGTGGTATTGTCCATGGCAAAGATCCTCATGGGCTGTTCTCCCACATAGCACCTTAGGTCATTCTAGTTTTTAGTCATTAAAATTGGAAGGACCCAAATGGGGAAGTGAGGGCAAAGCCCATACTGAGCAGTGCTTGGCTTTGCTTGTATTAGCAAATAGTTCAGAACAAAGGAATACTCTGGGAATATTTTAGACAAATGCTATCAAAAAAGAAGTGTTTTCATACACATGGCACGCGCTGAGAACAAAATGAGGGGGAAAATGTTGTCCACCCAGATGATTTCTTCTCAACATCATTTTCAAGTGTCACAGCATTGAACACGCCAAAATGCAGCGCATGTCATCAAACGAATGGCGTCCTTTGAACAAATTGGTTGCAGATGTTGGGAGCGCAACTCCAAACGATCAAATTGTGTAATATTGTGCAATAATTTATGTCTGCCTCTCTCACAATGGGTCTTGGGAGCCCTCCAAAGAGAATGTGTGTAAACTAGCTGACAACAGTGAACTGTACCTTGAAGAAGTTAAACCTGGCTTAATAGAGCACCATGACCCAAACAGGGTTGCTCCAGAACGTGCTTGTGCCCGTAGGCACACTTCCAAGTGCTGTCTTTTCCATGAACGATGGAAGTCTGTTTTCCATCAGGCACATGCAGAGAGACCTTTCTCATGTGGAAACAGCCAGACAGTACAGGCCATTGGGGCTATTAAGAAGATTTCTCTTCAGCCAAAAACCTGTGACATCTTTTCTATGATCGGGCATTTGATATCAGTGTACCTCCTATTGAAACGCACAGGGTTTTGGAGTATTTTAAGAAGATTGAAATGTAGCGTAGATCTCTTCAGAATCTGTTCGCAGGGCCTGAGAGTCATGTTGCACAGTCTAGACGAGTTGTCCTGTTTTCTTGCCACAGGTCAGTATACACGCCATTGATCTTCCTGCTTTCAGACCAGTGTCAGTTGAACCCATTTGCCTTCTGCTCACTTACTGTCCCAAAGGAGAACAATGAAACAGTAATAGCATCTAAAGTGTAATCTCAACAGGTTAAAACAATTTGTGTCAGTTGCAGTGACATGAAAAATTCGATATGGTTGCTCGAAAATAGGTCATGTTAGGTCATCTGTAGTGTCACACTGAGACACCTGGGCAGCTCTTCGTCCAATTCTTCAGTTCTTCAATAGGAAATAGACACCTTTGTCCTGTTCACAGGGATGCATTTGGTCTTGCCATCTGAGACCTTGATACCATTTTTTTTTTTCTTCTTATAATCAGATAATCCATGCTAGTTTGAATAGAATGGAAACTGGAAAACCCAAGAATGAATATACTTCTTGGATGAGTGACAAATTTCCACCTTTTGTATACAGAGGTGAAATTCAAGGCATTTGTGCTCATGCAAGTGTCTGAAATCTGAAGTAGACAAAAGTGGTTTTGGTTACAGGGTGAGTTACAGTAGCAATGATTTAGACAATTAAATAACTTGTTCTCTTCTGTATTATGTCTCTCATTGTACTTTCATATGAATTTATACAAATCAACCTTGTTTGAAGTGTGTACATAAGCACTTAGTGGGGATCATTGAGGGAGGAGGAGTATTATTTGGATATGATGTATTAACTTATTATTAATCACTTATGATTGGCAGTAGGTTTCATTATTCATAAACAGAAGTCGGGGTTAAAAATACTGAATCTTAAAAAAAAAAAATCACAAGCTAGCAAATAAATTGATAGTCTCAATAAACTGAATAATGAGTTCTATACCAGTTCTATAGATTGTGAGAAGTGTCATTCACTACCCACTCACATAAAACATTGTGTAACATAAACTGCATTAGTAAACATCTATCAGGGTACTTACAGACCAATGTTAGTTTGATTATGTAGATGAATTAATGAAACAAGTGCTGTAACCTCATACATTTGTTTGTGCCAGAACTCACTTTTTGTGACTCCTGTCAGAACGACCTTTCAAAACTGAAATCTTTGGAAATGTTTGGATATTTCTGCCATTTTCAAAGGTTCTGACTGAAGAACTATGCTGCCACGATTGCCTGTTTAGTTTATTATTTGTGACTGTAGTATAGGCTTAGCATATATCCCTGCCTTATCCTTCTCTCAGCATTATGCCATGTAAAACTTGGCCCTTGCCTACTGACTGGCGATCAACTTTGGTATCTTCATCAGATAAAAGTTCTTTACCTCTGGACCCTGGTTTGTAGGGATTCATTATCAAATTGTGTAGGAACAAATATCTGTTTTCCCATCAAGCAGCAAGACTATGGGGCTGCTTTCCTGGGCATGAATTAAGCCTAATCTTGGACTAAATTGCAGTGCCATCTTTTTAAGTCTAGGCTTAGGTTTAATCTGGGTCTGGGGAATGTTTATGTGTAGTATGTTATTGTCTGCAGGTTAGCCATTTAAGGTACAAGAACACTCTCTCGGCAATGGGCCTCTTTGTTAGGCTGTTGGGCTTCAGTGCCAGGCTTGTGCTATACCAGTGACTTACGCCATGTGTGATGTCCAAGCACTATCTTGTCTGCTTGAACTAAAAGCTTTCTGGTTCAGTGGCTTCTCAGGTTTGCATTCATTCAACATTACGCTCTGCACAGAGGCTTTAAAAAGGAATTCTGCACAGCTGACAGGCTTCTTTCGTGTGCTTGTATGCCTTTATCATAAGGATATCACTGCTCCTTTGTTTTGCTCACTCAATGCTTCCACCCTAAAATATACACGTCTTTGGCAATGAAAAGTTTATTCATTGTAGGTTTCGGTGATTTTGACTATCATCACAGTATCAACAATCCTGACCAACAATGTTATTTTTACATTGAGATGGTGATCTGCAACTTTGTCATGCATGTTTATAGGTATGAAAGATGCTATCCACAAGTCAGAGTCAGACATATTACCACCATTATTGCAATGCTTGCGAAAACCACCATGTACAAACGTGAGAATTTGAGATGCAAGAAATACACAAATGCAATAGTGAGAAACAGTTTTCATGCAGTGGAAAAGAATTCTCAACATGCTTGACCATCAGTGAATGCTGCATGAAATTAATGAAGGTCTCTGTCTGGCCAACTTAGATTTATTATTTTTATTTAAAAAAAATTTTTAAGGAGCAAAATGAATTCTGCAGGTGTTTGTTCGAATCTGTTTTGAAACATGAACATGGCCTACCCTAATTTATTGTGTTTCTCTTTTGATCTAAAAAGTGTATCCAGAGCCATGTGGCAAATGAGACACTGTTCATGTAACACCTCTGTTTCTTTAGGGGAAAATGGTATTTCTCTTATTCGTGTGTGCTTTTTTTGTGTTTGTGTGCTCTTTGACTAACATATTTTCGGCTATCACATATACCATGCAAACCACAGTGTCTGATACAGCACATTTACAGTAATTGTTCAAGAACTAAAATCAAAATCTTATCCCTTTACAGGCAGAGATACCATTACGAATGCATGATTTCATTCACCTCACAGAAGAAAACAGAAATGTTCTCTGGAGAACAAAAAGGGCAGCCAAAGGTAAAGGTTTTATTTTACTGTCCGTTCCATTTTAATATTCAAACAGACTTTAAAATACCATTCGCTGCTACAAGTCAGAGACCTCAGAACTGTTGTTTTTTGATATCTGAGATTGTTCAGAAGTGTTTTGTTTGCATTCCAGTTTTATGTTTGAATGTTAAAAGCTAACTAAATTATAACAAATGTTTTAAGTATGGTGACTGGAAGACTGGAAAATGTTTACAAGAGATATCTGGACTGTTGGCATTTCCTTATTCAATTATTCTTTCTTTTTTTTTTTGTAATTTAATTCAGAGCGGTAATCTTTAGCTGTACATTACTGCTTTTAGCTGTACTTCTAGCGTAAAGGCACAAATTGCATACATATTAATATATAACATATTACATATTAATCAGCAGCAGAACATTACAGTGGGTCTGTTGCACCTATTGTATTCAAGTTTCTGTTTTTTAAAACACTAATCTGAAGCCGCAAATGGTTTATGACTGCTTGAGAAAAACAACCTTTTTGGGCATGTGACCAATATGTAATACTTGGAATAAGAAGTGAAAAAGAGAGAATGTTTTATTAATGTTACCCAAATTTGAAACAGATTCCACCTGAATACACAAAAGAAACATTTCAGAAACTATTCTGAATATTTCATTCATATTATGGAACACGTTATGCTAGTAAGACATATGTACCTGTGTCAGGGGTCTAGAATGTTGCATTGTAGTTGACCTAACCATGCTTCGACCGCAAATATGTTCTTTTGTAGCAACTGTTGAGAGCTTAGACAAGCTTTACAGAATGCAGACAAAAATCAGCATCAACCTAATGAGAAATTGTAGTGCACAGCTCAGTTATTGCCAAAATATGTAAATATAGTGTATTATTAATAATATTTTATGTGTGCAACTTGTGTAAGTGAGCTAATTGTGAGAATGGTGCCAAATGCATTTAGATAGCATAGTATTTTAAAATGGAAACTCTTTATGTAGTTATGGAGTTTGCAGTCCAACTTAAATTAATTTCATTGAATTGATTTTTTTTTAACAGCAAAGCTTGTGAAACCTGGCAAAAGTTGGTATTTGTGAGCGGAGCATGGATATGTAAATTCCCCGTGCCTTGCTGTTTACAGTAATTTACAGTCACATCATACATGATCCTGGTCAGGTTGACATGTCTGTATTATGATTTTTGACTCTCTGTAAAAGTTTATTGGCTCTGAGATCAATGTTGATTCTCAGGGCATTGTAATGTCTCAGCCAGTGATCCATATGCTCCATGCAGCTATGTGCTTTTGATGTTTGTCCTTTGAATGCATGCAAATCCCCCAGTGCTCATCCACGGTGATAATTGCTCACATACCCTCCAGAGATCGTCTCGCAACAAGTGCTACAGTATGCCAGGAACATGATAAATTTTCCCACATTCTATTGCGTGACAATGAGCACTTCAGGAAAGTGCACTGATTGTGTTTGAAGGAGCAGGGGAGCGAGAGAAAAAATGTACCTTGCAAGACTTTTGCTATAAATCAGTAAAATTTCGGACTCTAAACAATAATTATTCCCAGGTTCCCTGCACACACCATACAGACAAAGTCTTCTGTAATCTCAACTCCAGATCACAAAAGCCGTCTGTATTTCAGACGTTTGTGCTCATAACATGGACCAGATTTCAGATAGGGTTGCTCATTAGGACAAATTCATGCGGGTGCATCCAGTAATTTGTGCAGTAGAAAAAAAAAGAAAAAACACTGGCCATATGTCCTAGGGGGGAACTCAAACCGTGAATGTTTTAAGGTTAAACGGCCTTTGTAGTTGTAATGACATGGTATACATTAACCTAGAGGAGTGCACTTAAAAAGCATTCTTTTGCAACATGCAAGTGTGTAAACTTTACTAGTCAGACAGGCGTTGTAGTGATGCCCACCTCCCTGGACAACACACACACATACATGCACACACTTTCATCTACATTTTCCATCTGGGCCTAATTCAAAGGAAAGGATTTTGGCAGGATAATGTATCTCTCTAATTAACCTCTCGAGTTCCATTGCCGGCTAATGCTTCAGGCACATGTGTATGTACGGGAATCCACACTTACAAGCTGTAAGTGCACTGCTCTGAGTTACCTGGCCCAAAGTTTCTGACCACATCATTAAAATGCAGCCCAGGTCTTCTGCGAAGCTCAGTGAAGTTTGTGTGTGGGTGTGTCTATGTCTGTGTTTGTTTCTGAAAGGTACAAAATGAACAAAATGACAATTGTGCTTTCATAAGATTTCTGCCCAAGAGGTGCAGTGGGTAGAGCTGGACAATAACTGACTTTGACATTTCATTTATTGCATTGGCTATTTATTTATTTTTTTTATTCCATTTTATATTGTAAATAGTTACTGCACTGGTAATCCTTACTTCAAATACATGCAAACAGTTTATAGAACCTGCAAATTTAGACTAGTCAAAGAGAGTATATTTACAAAACAAACACATTATGCATCCAACTCATAGCACGTATTTACTTATTCAGCACTCTTTTGCTGAATTATGATCATTTGGTGTTTGTATTAATGTCACAACAGGAATAATTGGTTTCCATTTCCTTCTTAATTATAGTCACTTGTATGATTGTTAAAGACAGTCACAAGGTATTTTGCTAAAATATTTATCACAATCATTTTTGTTTCCACACTACCCAGTTCTACCCCAGGGTTTATCCAGGGGTTTTAATTGCGACAGTACACCAACTTACTTATTTTTTTTTATCTTTCAGAATCAGAAAAAAGGGAAAAACGGAAAAAAGGTAATTTCAGCTCACCCCCCCCTTCCAAAAATGTCATTCAAAGCAGGTTTATATAATTGTATAACTGATAATCATACCATGATTGTGTTATAGCCAAGAGGTTTTCAGTTATACATTCTGTTTTACAGAATAATTTCAAAACAGAGAGACGCTTAAATGTAATTATAATAAATGTAACACAGTTTATACATTGTATAAAAACCAAATATAAATAATACTATCTAATAAATATTTAATAATAAAGCATAGAGAACATTCAGGAATGAGCAGTTGCTACATCATGCTGTGCAGTGTCTTTAGGACATTATTACGGCAGGACAAATTTTAGATTTAGTTTGTTTTACTCTTAAAAGACAATCTTCTCTTTTTTGAGGTTTCTCATAGAAAATTACAGAGTTGCAAGGATTTTGCTTTTTGTATGCCTTTCTCCATAATGTTTCTTGCTAGCAATGCCAATGCAATGCACCCTAATAAAATAATGCTTCCACCATCATACTTCACTTTAGGGACACTTTAGGATAGTGAGACCTGGCTACTGGGCTGTATTTGATCAGCTCCAGACATACTGCTTAGCCACTCATTTTAATCTCACTTTCTGCCATATTTGTTCTAAGTGATGTTTTGCAAATTCTTTATAGACAAGAGTGTGTGTATATATAGAAAAAATATTTATATGTGATGTCTGTACCCAAAAAAATCAGTTGTTACATGTGTTTTAATGTCTTCACTTACAGTCAAGAAAAGATTGCCAGGTGCACCTGGTCCTCCTGGGCCTCCAGGCCCTCCAGGGCCACAGGGCCCTCCTGGTATTCCAGGGATTCCTGGTATTCCTGGAAGAAATGATTTAGGCCCTGCAGGGCCACCTGGACCCCCAGGACCAAGGGGCCCTCCAGGGCCACAAGGGCCAGCAGGTAAAAAATGGCTTATACTACAAACACCAAATGCTTATTATTTGTAAAAGCTGTGAAAATAAATGCATATTTTTTTCTCCAGGAGCTGTTGACAGAACAAAGTCAAGGGAGTTCCAGGTAGGTTTTTAAGCAGGACGTGGGCACAATATTGAGCTGTCTTATATGTTGTATAGGTGGTAATTAAGAAATCTCCCCATTGTTTAAAAAAGATGGCCTTCTAATAATATTCAAATTCAAACTTATCTTTAATTCTTGTTTGTTGTTTTTAGCCTGCTGTTGTACACTTGCAAGGTCAGGAGACAACAATACTAGTGAGAGAAGGTAAGGATAAAATTTCAGATTTTTTTACCTCTCATGAGGAAAATTACATCATTAATTGATGACTGTGGAACTGTCTTTTATTCTTGATGATGTGTCTTGATGTGATGTACTTAAATCAGCACACACTTCCATAATTTTACCAAAAGTAGAAAAGTTACATTTTTTGTGACTGGTATTGAGTGATTGGCTTTTTTTCCTCACACTGAGATCTTCCAGAGGGCGTGCTGAAAAACTGGAAAATGGTCTCCGTGCACCACAAGGTTTTCAAGATGCACTCCCGCTCTGGAGAGCTAGAGGTGCTCATGGATGGCACCTACTTCATCTATAGTCAGGTAGAAGTGAGTACGCTCCTGGGCCTCTTCTTCCCGGCATGCACCTCTACAATATGTGTTTCACAACAAGGATTTTACTTCAGTTCACTACTCCCTTAAAATTTACACTTTTACATATCTAAAACAGTAGGTTAATTTGCTGTCACCCTGACATCAAAACCACTGATTTAGTACTTCCCTGTTGATATAATATCTTTCAGTCAAATGTTAAAAGCAATTACTGATTCTAGTTTAGCACTATCATCTCGGAAGCATAATGCAGATTACCTATGATTTTACTAAGCATGTGTATTGTTAAAATGTTAATAAGCTGAGAGCAGATAAAACTATATTTTCATAGATCATTTGCTTATCAGGAAAAAGTAAGTGGAAAGTACAGTGGAAGGGGGAAAAGAATCACAAAAAAAGCACATGAAAACATTATGGTATCCTGTTCTGTGTGTTTTGGTGTCTGACCAGATCTACTATCTGAACTTCACGGACATAGCCAGCTACGAGGTGCTGGTGGATCGCGTGCCCTTCCTGCGCTGCACGTGCAGCATTGAGACTGGCCAGCGCAAGTTCAACACGTGTTACACAGCTGGCGTGAGCGTTCTCCACGCCCACCAGCGCATCTCCATCCGCATAGTTTATGATGACTCGCTAATCAGCATGACTGATCACGCCACTTTCCTGGGCAGTGTGAGACTGGGAGATGCGCCTTCTTCTGGTCTCTCATAAACAGAGAACATTCTTGCCCCCATGTATACTCCACCACTCAATATACATTCACACACATTTGCACTAAAAAAAATTATCATATTAGGCCTATACCTAGTAATACTGCTTTTATTAGTGTTTTCAAAGTAACAGATCAGTTTATGGAAATCATCCATTTCTTGATGTACATAAAATTATTTTCTCAATGTATATATGTACATAAAATAGAAAATACTTTTTTTGTAAATTGATTCAGGTACAATAAATACTCTAATTTGTAATCTATTTTGTGTGGACTGCAGTTTTCATATTTTAGTATGACAATATCTGACTCAAGGATTTATTAAACAGACAAAGAGATTCTGTGGCTCTGTGGAGATTTGAGAGAACCACACAGTGTGGACCAAACTTGGCCAAGCTACTAACAGGCATTTGCTGTTAAGAGGCCATGAAATGAAACATGGCTCCAGTGCCTCATTTTTTTTCTTTCCCCTTCTTCTCATGCTCTCATATTCACATTTTATTTTGTATGCTGAATTACTTGAATTTATGGTTAGTGACTGACACAAACACTAACAAGCTCAAACAAATCCTGTATGATTAAACAAACCCTTGGCTGCTCCATATATTTGACCACTGTTATACAACTTGACTGGTTTATTGTATAAATGAACAATTACTTGATGGAGAACGTTGTAAACTTAGTTCCAGTGGTATCCTAGTACATAGTTAAAAACTTGACTCCAACAACACAAGCGAGTAAGTTTTTTTTTTTTCTTCGTATTTAACAAGTTCCTCATTTGCAGTCTATTTTTAAAATTTCCTGTGAGAGTAACTTCTCCACTCCACCCTTTCAGAAGACAACAAGAAGTTGTACAGTAACTTTTACAGTATTCATACTTAAACATGTTCCACAAGAAGCAGTTTGTCAGCTATTTTAATCTGCTCATTTGTGTAATTGTATTATCAATAAGTTTTTGGGTAATCCAAGAAGTCAGTGTCTTGAAAAGCAAACTGAGGATAATAAAAAAGGATCTGCTCCTTCAGTTAGTCCAGCTGCAATCGTCAAGCACACTCAACGATGACATATTGATGTCTGACACATGGGAGGTATGTCAGGTCATTTCTCAGTTTGACTTACTGTGGTTTTGTTTGAGTCCCCCAAATTGCTTTGAAATTTTGACATGTTTGGTTGTCATGCACTTTATATTACTGTGTTTACTTGATATGCTGGAAACCAACATGACCAATGGTTATTCACTGAGGTCTTTCAGCGAATCAAACGGGAGCTGGCTGGCTGCACACGTGAGTACCAACACCACAGCCATATGTTTGCACTTTGTATGCTTGTAACTTATGGCTATTTTCACATGATCTACAGTTACACAGATCATGTACAGGGCAACATTTGACATCCATTAGAGTACCCACTCATAGCAGTGTATTCCTCACAGCAGAACATTCATTCCTGCAGCTAGCAGCAAAAGGTGATGAGAAGCCACAGTTAAGAGGTAAGATTCCAATCACAGATGCATTAATAGGGACTCGGCAATAAAGATTATAATTTGTTGTCACATTGCGGAGTTATTAATAATTAGTCAACAATATGCACACCTTGTAAAAATAAGCGTTCCTAAATGGTTCTTGACTTGGATGTAAACTTTAATTAGAATGTAACCTGTACCACTACTACTTCAAAAAAAGTCCTTTACTCGTATATCATATCAACAAAAACGGCGCTACGAAGGAGCCTTGACAAAGTTTTAAATTTATAACAGAACCACTAGAGGTTCTATTTTGATGTCTATTTTTAAGAGAGTATACTTACTAAATAATCAAACCTTTTTTTGTTTGCTCTTTTACTTTTTGTGATAAAGGAAATGTGACAGTCATTCCTTGGACTATAGCTGCACAGCGTGGACCAGCCCTAGCTACACTCAACAACAAAATTATAGTACAAGAAGACAGCTACTTCATGGTGTATGGCCAGGTATTATATGAAACTGATTCATGTTCAGCTTAAACTTGCTATATATTTCTCTGGAGAGTGTAAGCAATCAAATTATTTACACATCTAATAAGTGCAATAATGCTCATGAACCAGCACAAAAATGTCTTGAGATAGCTCAGAGGTCTGATTAGTGCTACAATCTGTCACTAATGTCAAGTGGTGGTGAGTAAAACTGTTAAATATTTCCCAAAGAATGGGCCTAAAGTCACTTTTTTTTTTCTAAGGCTTTGAGGCCCATTGCTTAAGAGTCGTTTCACAATAGTTTACAGTGTATATAATTTTCAGTATGATCAATTTTAATAAACTTTTCTAATTGTTTTATAAGCTAGGACTGGTCACTTAGATATAAAGTCTAGCCTGTAGGCTACAGGAAGCCTGTATAAATACAGTCAGGTGACAAATAAAGGGCAATGTTCGGAAGTTAATCAAAAAGTAATCCATTACACATGATCACTTCTCTCAACTGTAATGTGATTTTAATTTATTTCTTGAACAAAGTAATCTTTGTTTTACTCTGGAACACCCTTATACATCTGTATCAGCTGGAAAATGCAGAAGAAAACCCCTAAGTTCTCTGCAGTCATTTATTTAGGAAGAAACAGCCAATCACAATAAACATCATTTAAAAGACTTGTCACTATTCCTGACTTTAAAAAAGACAACCAGTTATGCTTTATCAAAATAATGAACAACTAATGCAGTTTGAAAACTTAGAAACTATTCACTAGAAATGGTCCAAAAGCAGATGTCTCAAAATAAAACGTTTACGAATGAAATATAAATCTTACAGAGCTGCTCTTGAAGGAAAATCGATTCTGGCCTGTTTAGGTGAGGTTGGGGCTTTCTCATCTTCAGCACCGGAATCTTTATCCATCAGTTTCATATTGTGATTAGATGCTTTGACAGACTCTTCCCTGAGTTCATGGTGCTTCCCACGCTCGCACTGTGCTGCACCAAAGTCCTGATAGGAAAGTCCGTCCACTCAGCGGCCATCTTGGCACTGCTGCTTGGCAGTTATTTTTACAGTCATGCGAGACCAGGGGGCATTTTACAGAAACTTCTTAACTCTGAAATCCTATCTTATATCCATTTAGTCACCATGGCAAGTTATGACTCAATTTAGGACAACAGCTAATACAGAACAACAGTTCTTAACCTCATAATTGTATTCTAACCTATCAAAACCAGTTTTGTAATGTGGTTTGTCTTTTTAATGGGTTGATATCACAATGCAAAGGAATAATTTAACAGCTGACCAGTGACTGATTTTTTTTTTTAAATGCATTTGATGGTTTCCTAATGGGATCCAAAGGTGTTCCACAGGAAACTACTGGTCTCTATTTGAAACCATTAAGCCAATTCCCATTAGAAAGCAAAACCATTAGGATTCAATCCTATTGGTTTCGTATTGGTACTTTTTCAGCAGGGAACATTTTACAGAAACCTATTACAGAAATCCAACTACACAAAACTTTCTAAATTCTGCCCTAACTTCAAGACAACCCCAGAGGTGTCTTAACTTAGATTTTAACCGTCTGTTTTTATTGTGTTATGCAGTGACAGACAGCATAGAAAAATCCCAAACACTGCAGACACGATCTCCAGTGTCCCCTCTTATTAACATTGCATGTTAATGTTGATGAAAACACGTCAGATAAAATATTACAGCGATATCAGTGAACAATGAGGAGACAGCATGTTTTTTTGATGGAATAACGTTAGGGCAGTTGGCTAAATCATTTGGGAAACTAACGCTTCAGATGAAGCGTCGCTCAGATAAACAGCACAATGCACTATCACTTTAAGTTCAGCATGGTTTAGTTTTGTTTGTTGAGAGTAACTAGCTGTCTGGCTAACAAACTTGATTATCTCGATTACGTGTTTACATTTCAGTTGTGTACTTACGGTCAGTTGCTTCACAACAGGCATGAGTTAATTGTCGAATTTGATCGAGTACGTTAAGATTTCCTAACTGGAGATGAGATGCTGTAAGATGAGAAAATTCCTAGATTGCTTCTATAATAAGAATTTGTGGAAAATATTATCTTGACCTATCAGATCTAGATGAACGTTTCTGTACTACGACCTCAGGCTCCTGTACTTTGAACGGGAAGAGACCTATAAAACAGAAACCAAAAGCCATATTAATGTTTAAAAACATATTTGAAATCACTGATAAAATCTGACAAACAGTGTAGTTTGTTGTGTTTGGCTCAAATAACACACAAAAACCATGATTTCCAGCTTGGTCTGTCTACTGCACTTGTGCAGATCTCCACAACAGACACCATGTTGAGCGTTACAAGTTTTCCCATTCATATTTCAACAAGTGACTGGTCTCCTTCTTTATAATGTCTCTGACTGTATTCACAATCTTGTATTCACAATCTTGTATCCACAAGTCACGTAGTCGGCTGACGCAGGGGCACGCGCACATGTAAATCAGGTATAGATAGTATCAGAGGATTGTGCAGTGAGCATAATTGCCACTGTAATGCCTGCTGGGTTTGTCAGATGCTAGAGGGCACTCCCAAGTGAGCCCAAAATGAACGGGTTAATATGGAGCATTTTTTTTATATAGAAGGATTCATTCATTTCCTGAACACAGAACAGAATGAGCTGATCAGCTCACCAACCAATCAGCACTCAATAGCAGTAATGCTAGCGTCCATGACTTCCTTGTGTTGACATTGATTGATGACTGAATTTTAGAATCTATCTATTTATGTTTAGATTTCTTCTGCCTTAGCTAGACAATGAATGCAGTTAACGCCAGAACGTTAGCAGGGCTCACGTAACTTATGCTTATGACAAGTTAACACTGCTTAACCTCATCAAACATAGATAAGTAGTAGGGATGTATTGATATTGATACTGGTATTGGGTATCAGCCTAATACCATTCTCATTTACCCGTACTTGACCCTAGAAAAATTCACTGATACTAACATCAGGTACAAGCCAATACCATGTGACGTTAGTTTATGCTGCCACGATAATGAACAAATAACTCAAGCCAACAGTGAACGAGGGTCTGCACACTCAGAGAATACCAAAAAAACAGTCGGTCACTTTAAATATCCTGCCTTGGCAAATTCCCGCCAGACATACAGTAGACATACAGTACAATAGAGCAACGAGATATAAACTGTAAAACATTGATCTTTTAAACAGTCTTTGTAAAACAGGCTGCAGAGAGGCTGTATTGTCCTACCATGTGCATCACCTGGTTTTAGTAGTTAGCTGAGCTCCTCAGTTTCTCAGCAGGTCTGTTCATACTGTCTTGGAGTAACCTACTTAGAATAAAGTAGTTATTAGTGTAAATAAGTGCAATGTACCTTAAGAGTTAAAACATTAAAATCTAGCTGAGTTAAATGATATGCTACATTAATTATCCTTTTGTTTTACATGAAAAATGTGCTTCTCTACAGCTGTAAGTAAAGTAAGTTTGATAGTTGTGATGCTCTTCATCTCTCTAAAACAGTCTCTGTAGCACAGTAACAGCAGGAATCACATCTGAGGAGCTTATTTTTGTGTTGTTGAAGTCTTTTTGGCTGGTTGAGATGTAGTTGAATGTCCTCTAAAGCCAGACATACACTGTGGAAAATCCATTCTATGTGAAACGCAGCCTCTATAGACAGCTCTTTTTATGGACAATTTCATATAAAGCTGTTTCATTCAAAATAGCACACTGCGTGTCTGAGTACTGAGCAAACACGCTGAGAAACTGAGCGGCTCAGCTAACTACTAAAACTGATGATGTACGCGGTAGGACAATATGGCCACTCTGGTGAGAACTAAAACAAAAACTCATATATGCAAATACTCATACTCTTTCTGAAACAAATGGTATCAGTGCTTCCCTAATAGCTATTACTCTCTTTGATGATGACATTTGATGGTGTACCTGATGGTACAAAAGACAGAATATCACTGACCGTTCCACAAACAAAATAATTATACAACTCTACCGATTTGTGTGCTGTTATCTCCTGTGATGTGTATGCTGAGGCAGTAATTACATGATAATTACAGATGTCTGGATATATTATCATGGGCAAAAATGCATAATTTGGACTCAAAGATAATAGCTTGGCACAGATCAGCACCTCAAAGCAAACTGACTTTTTCTTTATTATTTTTCACTATATTCATTTCACTTTGTTTGTCTTATGTCTGTTCTCATGATCTTTGGCTTTTCCTGCTTTTTTAACGTATCTTGTTTGCCTTGTGTACTATCTGTCTGTTGTCATAAAATAAAAAAAAGTAAAAAAAAGGAGAACAAAATGGTATAGGATGACTCATTTGACATTAACACTTTTTTTCCACGTGGTCTCTGTAGACCAGTGCGTATTTTTCACACCTCTGAACTCCTAGATGTGCATTTTGTTTGTTGTAATGAGGTGTTTATGCACTGCACCCCTACTGTGATATATCCGCCTTTATATAGTTGTTGACAGATTGTTCTTGCACTCTGAGAACATTCTGCAGTGACATTCTCATTTACCTGAAGAACAGTTGTTTTTCTGCTGTTCCTTACACACAGCATTAAGACACAAGCATCACGATTACTGAATGTGTGCTCTCAATCACAATTTCAAACCCTGTTTAGAGATGGCAGTTACGTTAGTCATTGTTATTATTGAACCTGTGGCTGTCAGGTTCCCAATCCTTGTCCTGCAGCATCTTCCGCTCTCCATGTTTTTGTATTTTCCTGCTTTTACAAACACATTTCAGCTTGATAATGACCTGGGCTGCGTCCAGAAACCCTGAAAATACATCTTTTTCCTTCTAATTCTCTTCCTCTCCTGGAAACCAATTTCTTGACACCATCTTACTAGTTGTTCCAATACCAGAGGAGAGGAAAGAAACACCTGCCAAAGTGGCTTCTAATGGAGGATACAGCAGTGTATGCTACCCAGTAAGACTTTTCAGATTTTAGAGTGACATCACTGCATACATGGCCAGAAAGGACAGACAAGCATGGAGCAATCCAAATATACTTTAAATTCTGTGTTTTGTTTGTGTTCATATATTCTCTGTGTTATGTTTTTTGTACTTGCTTTATAGTAATAATTAAAAAAACATGGAAAATAAAACCACGCAAATGTAAATTGGCTGGCTCTGTAGAACTGCTGCGATCGGATACAGGATTATTAGGGATGTGCTTTCAAATTCTTTCATCAATAGTTGACATCAAATATAATGACGCTGAAAGGAATCAACATCGTCTTGATCCAACATCGAGGTCAACTGTGCCTGGTCAGCATTTTTATACATGCCACAGAGCATGGCATGATTTAATTGCTTCATTCAGTACATCTGTCTGGAAGCATTTGCACTTCCAGACAAGTGTACAGGTTTCTCCACTCATTTATTCAGGATTTTGCTTTAATTTGTCACCTGTTTGTATATATGCACACCTTTCTATACAGGCAAATCCTATCTCTGTGCAGAGAAAAAGGGTAAAATATGAAAAAAACTTCAAATCCAGACCTAATGATTACTTTCTAATGGAAAAAAGATTTCTTGAAGATTGTGCCTTAGTACTGCACCTTTGTACTATTACTGAATGTCTGAATGCATGATTCATTCTACAAATAAACCAAACTTGCAATGTGCTAATTTTTAGGTGCTGTTTCTAAACCCGAGTGAAGTCATGGGCCATGTGATCACAAGGAAAACATCAAGTGTGGCAGGGAAGGAACAAACAATCACAAGCCTGTTTCACTGTCTGCAGGAAATGCCAGAAGATGACCCAGTGAACACCTGTTACACTGCTGGTAAGTATAAAGTATCATAAAGTATTACAATAATTTAATTTTAATAAAAAAGTAACAGAAAAACAAAACAATTTGGCTAGGGTAGTACTCATCTTTCTTTAACAGCTGTGTACATGACAATAAAGGTGTTATTACATGTCAAATCAGCTGTGTAAAGTAGATTCCCCTTGCTACCTCTGCCCACTTGAAGAACTTTTAACTTTTTTCGTTCCGTGTCCCACAGTTTACAACTGTCATACCAAGTTGAGCCAGATGAGGGCAGTGTAGGTTATACTAGCTCACAAAGAGTTTGAGAGAGTTTCAGAGTTGAAAATGTTAAAATATTTTGATGAAATCAAATGACCATCTCTGCACTCAACACATACCACTGGAAACACTTGTAGATTAATTTCACAAGTGCTGGAAATGTTTTAGTAAGGATAAATTGTAACGTGCTGTTTATGGAACTGAAAACATTTCAGGAGGCTTTTTTATTTTTAAGCTTGTTATTTTTTAGAGGTAAAGGACACTTATACATACAAAGTGGCTGACCTGTTAGAAACATGCATTTTATTATACATTTGAATGAACATTTTCAAAAAGCTGCTCAAACAGGGCCCTAAACTCTGTAGTGGCCCCAAAGTGCATTATGTTGCAGGTAATTACATCACAATTAGTTTGCTAATGTTAAAAAAATACAGAATTACAAAGATGAACTTTTTAAAACGATTATTCAAGATTCTGTAAGGAGAGCAGTCTTAATAAAACAGAAGATTCCTTTAGGTGTACACACTTTAGCTATCGTAAGTGCCTGATATTATAAAGGAAGGAAGGATCAGGGCAACTTTGCAAGCAAGAATGCCCCAATAACTTCCAGTACCAGTTCTGCTGTAAACAGCTTCACACGACACTGTTTTTTCTATGTTGTATTCTACTGAGAAGTGCTTGACTGATGTTTGATCTTTATTTTCCTTTTCAAAAAGGAATAGCAAGACTGGGCTGTCAAGATGAGCTGGAGCTTGTTGTTCCATTCCGACCTGACGCACAGATTGCCATGGACACTGAATCTACCTTCTTTGGAATAATACAGCTCTAAGAACTGCTATCAACAATGTGCAGAGTAACAAACCAGCCTGAACAAACTATACACAGGAAGCCTCAAAGAATGAATTTGCCAAAATGCCCGGGTAAAAAAACACACATTACAGCAGGGATCATAGGACTTCACACAGCTAGTCAGCTATTATCATCAGGAAATAAGGCTGCCAGGGGATGATGTTCATGAGTGACAGCTACAAGCTGGCAGTCTTAGATAGCCAGACGTAGGAAGAGCTTTTCAGAAAAGGAAGAGCTTTCAAAAATAATGTCAGCTTTTACCATATACCAATTCTAAATAGTTTGTGCAATTTAACCATGCTGACAACCAAAGAATGTGGAAAAACCATATGGAGAAATAGCTTATGGGTGGTAATGTGCTACTCGCTTTATTTGTAGGTGAAAATAGGGGAGGGTTATGCTCCTTTTTAGAAAAGTGGTCATGTACTGAAAGGTTAAACCATATCTGTGTATGAGTTTAGCACATACAGGATGATGATGCATATGCCTACACACAGTTTGGGAAAATAAACTGGTTTTTATAGCACAAAAAAAGAAAATCTTAAATCTAAAATCAGGTACCCCGCTACCTGGGATAAGAACAATCCCAAGGCCAGCTGAATCTTAAATCAATTTGTCACTTGAGCGTTATAAAGTGTATAATTTATATGCCTAATCATTTGTAGTCTTACTTTTTAAAAATGAAATTGAGACCTTTATCAGTTGTCTTAATGATTTCACTTCATTTTAATGAGCTTCCTTCCACTTCAAGATACATCAGCTTTTTCTATGAATGAAACAGTTTTTTGTGATTATATTAATTACATAATAATATTATGTAAGTTTATTTAATGTTATTTGTTGGAGCCAGTTAGTAGTTTTAATAGTGCATGCATTTGTTTCTATAATTTTAACTGTTATAGTAATTGGAGGTTTGATGAAACTCCCACTGATGCTCCAGACAAGTGGAAAGCATTATTATTACTAATTATTATTATTATTTTAATTGCAACAATAGCATTCAACATTAATGCTTCAGGCAGATGATTATTTGACATGACAAAACAGATTAAGTAGATATGTAAAAATGCCAAGCTGCAAAACTCGCATACAAACTTATCTCCAGGTGAAAATGTTGCTTAAATTTGCTTCAAGCTACCAATCACTATAGCTAGCATTTAACCCTAATGCTAGTTACTCAGTGAAACTCTGTGAAGTACTTTGTGTCTTTATGCTGAAAATCTACGTAAATAAAATTTGGAGGCACATTTTATATTTTATGCTTTGTTTTTGTTAAACTCAACAAACTCAACAAATAGTTGGCATCGGTGTTACTCTTTATATGTCCCTGTAATCTATGTTAGGAAAAAACAGAATGACAAGGCTGCCTATCGTGTGCAGAATATTTTCAGCCATGATGTAATTTGCATTTTTGTAATACTAATGGCACTGGGAGGGGGAGAGAGATAAAGAGTGAGCTATAAAGGAATGGACTATGTGCAATAAAACACAATGCGTCTTGTCAGGGACACTTCACAAATGGCTGTGGACCTTATCAGCTTGCTTGCTCTGTGCACACTGTGTGCACCCATACTTTCCTCTGCAATGGCATACAGATCCCAGCAGGTAGGATTTACTACTAGATCTGCCATTTCTCCACTTACTTAGATCGGTTTATCCCATTCCTGTTCCTGTTTTTCCTTCTAGTACAATCCTTTGGAGCAGTCCTGGAGAAATAGAAACCTTTGCTCAATTCCTGCAGAATTGGACCTCAGGCTGCAAGCACTTGATCTGTCAAGCAATTCAATTGAACAGTTAAATGTACTCAACCTAAAATCGCTTAAGAAGCTAGACATAAGTTACAACCATCTGAATTTCATAGAGAAAGGAGCTTTCAAGTACCTGATCCATCTGGACTACATGAATCTTGCAATGAACCTACTGGACAGCAATGTAATGAACAACAGCAAAGCCTTTCAAAACCTTTATGGACTGAAGCATTTGGACATTTCACTGAATAATCTAGATGACGGTGCTGTGGGTCTATATATTCACAATGCTACTGCTCTTGAACAGCTCACTCTTAATGGAAATAGTTTGACTAAACTTACACCAACTCTATTTGCAAATAACAGGAACCTTGTAAATATTGATATTGAAAACAACAATATTTTGGAAATTGATAAAGGAACATTTGAACCCTTGAAGAAACTATCAGTATTGAACCTGGCAAGGAATAATCTGGTACATGTTTGTGACTTTCAGCTTTGTCAAGTAACAATTCTCAACTTAAGCCGAAATTCAATAGAATTCTTCTTCACTAATCCGAATTATCAAATGTATCTCCTCGAAACTCTGGATTTAAGCTATAACAATCTTCTGTATTTTCCTGTTGTTCCTAAAAGAAATAGACTGAAGTACCTTTATCTGCAATACAACAAAATTGGTGTTTTAGGATTAGAAATCTCTATTTCAGAAGCTAAAATGTTACACAGAAATATAACCCAGGACACAGAAATTCATAATGCAGGAAACAGTAATGACCTGAACCTTCTGACATTATGCCACATTGACTTGAGTGCTAATGATTTTACAAATTTCTCTTTAAATTCTTTAAGCAAACTGTTGTCTTTAGAGACGCTGAATTTAAGTGACAACTGTCTCCAGTACATCAGCCATGGCATGCTGATAAAGGACAACCAAACAGAAATCAGTAACATCTCCCTGCCGTCTTTACTCCATCTAAATCTGCACAACAATAAAATTGAATACTTGCCCAAAATCTTATTTGATTCCCTTCCAAAATTAGAGACACTCATCCTTAGACAGAATGATGTGAAGCTATGTGAAGAAAAGGCTAATTTATCAATCAGTACCTGTGTGTCTTTCAGAGGAGTACACAGTCTGAAACACTTGGATCTAGGAGAAAATGGGATCAAAATTGTCCCTAACACCTTTGCAAACACTCGGTTAGTGTCTCTCAATCTAGAAGGCAACAAAAACATATTTCTGCCGAGAGGGTCTTTGGAAGGTTTGCAGGGAAGCCTTGAATCACTAAGTATTGCTAACAGCAATGCAAGCAGGTCACGTGTGTTCACTCCATGTATGACAAAGCTGAGAACTTTAAACATCTCTCATAACAGGTTTAAAGATCTTCCAGAATCATTTAGGTGTTCACCACTGAAGGTCCTTGATCTACGAAACAATAACTTCACTTCTTTGAACTTTTTATTAAGAAATATGTCTCAAGAATTAGATTTTATTTATATCAGCAATAATCTATACAACTGTTGTAATACAAGATGGCTAACAATCTTGCGTGAGAATCATGTGAGCATTGCAGACCTGGAAAGAGCTAAGTGTCAGTATAAGACTGGTGATGATATTACATGTCACTTGTTACAAAACAACACCATACAATGTCAAAGGGAAGCCTTTTGGAAAGGCAAAGGCTATGTATGGGTATTTATATCATGTTTAATCATCCTCCTTACTATTGTGGCACTGGTGAAAGTGATGCAGGCCCAGGGACCACCAATTGTTTAAGAAGAACATCTGTTGTCAAAGAAAAGTAATTTATGTTTTATACATGGTTTAGCATGCATCACCAACAGATTTTGTGTCATGATTTTTAAATTGTATTTGGATGATTATATCTGGACATGTAACATTATAACAAATGCAAACAAACATAAATACATTAAAACCTAACAAGAATGTTTTGTTTTTAAAAAGGTTACAATTATTACAATTTTTATTATTCTTTTTATTTTAAGATTTACTTTGAGTAGAGGGCTGAAATGGTCCAGAAGGCTGGCAAGCAGTAGGCACCCGATTAAGGCAGAAGAAGCAACAGCATCAGACCGCACAGGATGGGCAGTTTTTTTTTAAATTTTTTTTATTTATGTTTGTTTATGGGTTCTTACACCTGTCTAAGAAGACATAACTGTTATTTTGGGTACTGACGAACATAAACTCAGTTGTTCATGAATGAACGAAGCTGTACTATTTTCCGAGTTTGCAGCTGCTAGCGCTAACTAGCCTAGCAATGTCCGCTAAAGGGCCAACTAGGCTAGCCATACTGGTAAACTGCTTAAATATCTAAAGTTAGTTGACTGCATTGAAGACAATAATTTGGAGCAGCAGCATTTTGTAAATGCTGAGATACAAAGCCTGTTTCAGTCACTGAGGCGCTCTGCGTTTAGAAACAAGAAGATCCTGAAATAACGGTCTTCATAAACCCCAGAACAGAACAGCCAATCATGATGTCGATTTTATTCCCTTTTGTAGTGATTGAACATTACTACCTATCAGCTATCTCATGGCAGCAGTAACTCATAGCTTGTGGTATTTTCCACTCTTTACTGTATTTATGCTAATGCTACCTTAACATTACTTCCCTCAACCCACAGCTCAGCAGATTCAATGATTTCCTGAACAACACGCCTGATTTAGGTCATGGAGGGCTCTGTAATCAGCTGATAGGCTGCATCAGGAGCAGGTTAATAAACTCCAATTTAAACAGTTGCAAAGATTGCCTAGTTAGCCATTTAGTGGACACTGCTATGCTAGTTCGCGTTAGCAGCTCAATAGGTTAGATTGTACAGCTCTGTTCAGCAGCTAAGTTTACCTAATATACTTCAATTTCCAAAATATACAGCTACAGAATCCTGACTGTGTGTTACATTATATGACAAACATCGGTCATAAGGGCGGACATGTCAGCGCAATAGGCCCTTTTCACATTATCGCATTTTTTGCTGGTGGAAGTAGTCATTGCAAGGTAATGCTGCTTCCGCTAAAGCAACAACGATGATGAGTAGAGCGTGTACAGCTTACTCATGAGTCTGAAGCAAAAACAACCTTGACTCAGTGTCAGTGGATTGTCAGCTGACGATGAGCAGAGGAAAATTTTGTTTGTGCAATGAACAAAGGAATAAACTTTGTCTTACAGAGGAACGCCCCCCTGCTGTCATGTGTGCGTATTTAGCTTTTTGCCAACTAGTTTTCTGTTAGCGAGCTGTTTCAACATTTCCAGCTTTTATTTAGTTTGGACTTCCATATTTTTGTGTGTTTGGTGAGTTGGTCAGTTGACCATTAGAAAGTGCAGGTGAACACCCTCTTCTAAGGCCCAATCCCATTTCTTATTTTTACACTTATCCCTTTTTTTGAGTGTCACTTTGTCCGTTTGGAACTGAGTTACAAGGGCTAGTTGTTTAAATCTTCCCCTACGAAATGAGACAACCCTCAAACAAAAAAGAGCATTACTTCATTGACAGGCAACTAGTGGTGCTCTGTAGGAAAACCTGCCGGTCTGCAGTGATAGCAGAGGAGCGGTAAAGTTCAGCAACCTTGCTGCTGGGCTTCAGTTAAATTTAGGGCTTTATATGCCTTCAGAGAGGAGGGATGTGACAACTATTTATGATTGCCGCCCCTAATTCATCCCAACAAAAACTGGGACACCCTACCCCTAGACATGAACATGCAAAATAGAGGGGTAAGGGCTAGGTGGTAGGGGCAAGAAGAGAAATGGGACTGAGCCAAAGACTTTAACAGACGCTGTTAAAAAGTGCCAAAAGTCAGAAGAAAGATTTCAGAAGCAAAAGAGCAACTCCAGAAACAAAAAATATCAGCAAAATCAGCAAACAGAAAAAAATGCAAGCAAAAACTGGCAAAATTAGTAATAGATTTATATCAAAATGAGAAGAAATGAGTAAAAAATCTTTTTGAAAAATTAAGATTGATTTAACTCTCATTACTTGTATTTGCAACATTTTTTTTACATTTTGAAACTCAATATTTTACTTGAATTTTACTATTTTATTATTATTGTAAGTTAAAATTTGATTTATTGCAGTTCAACCAAACAGGCTCTGGGTCTTGCACAGGGGGTGTAAAGTATTGGTTTTGTTAATAATGGTGGCTACTGAGTGAAAAATCAACTGGTCTAGTGGTTTGATATTATTTTTTAATTTTTCACAAATGCACAAATCATTCTGTAATATACAGTATATAAAAGGTATTATGTTATAGGTCTATTCAGACATGTACAGATATTCACACTTTAGCTCCTTTCACACTGTCCCTTTGTTACTCTATTCTATTTATTGTATTTTTATTGTATTTGTCCCTTAGACAAATAATTTTTGCTAGTCTGTGTGATGGTCTGGTCTGTTCAATATGCTGCAAGATACATGTGTATACTCACCAAGATAAATTCCTTGTATGTGTAACATACTTTGCAAAATAAAGTCATTCTGTTTCTACTGGGAGAAATTTTTGCCCATTCTTTCAACTGTGCAGCCCATTTAAAATCCTCAGCATTTCAAAGGGATTCACACCTGGGTTTGGACTAGATCATTTCATAACCCCCCATTTCTTCCTTTTGAGCCATTCCTTGGTGGATTTGCTTGTATGTTTGGGATCATTATCCTGTTGTAAAGTTCACTTCTTCAGCTTAAACATTTTTACAGATGGCCTCACATTCTCCTCAGTTACTCCCTGGTATAAAAGAGAATTCACAATTGATTCTATGATTGCAAGTTGGCCAGGCTTTGAGGCAGCAAAGTAGTCCATACTTTACAGTTGGTATGAGGTTCTGCTGATCAAATGCTGTCTTTGGTTTTCACCAAACATGGCTTCTGGTACTGTGGCCAAACAACTCTACACTTTTAAAAGAGATGGTTCTTCAAGGGTTCTTTAGTAAAATAAAAATAGCCATGAACACTCAAAGAACCCTCTGCATGATTAAAGGGTTCTTTGCATTATGAAAGCGTTCTTCAGATTGATGGAGAATGTGTTGTAGATGGTTCTATGTAGAACCTTTTTGAAAATGATTCTATATAGTGGCCAAAAGAGTTCTTCTACTGTTACAGTGTTAAGCTCGTAACGACAGAAGAACCTTTTTGGGTACTTTGTAGAACCCTTTTCTAAAAGGTTCTATATAGAACCGTCTATAGCACAACCATGCACATTTTCCATCAATCTGAAGAACCGTTTTATGTTGCAAAGAACACTTTAATCATGCAGCTCTTTGAGTGTTCATTTTCTTTACAAAAGAATCCTTGAAGCACCATCTTTTTTTTAAGAGTGTATCTTTGATTCATCTGTCCATAGCACATTGTTCCAGAAGTCCTGTTCCTTGTCTAGATATTCATTAGCAAACTTTACTCTTGCCCCAATGTTCTTTTTAGACAGCAAAGCCTTCCTCCCTGGCGCACCTCCCATGTGGGTCAAATTTGTGCAGCCTTTTTTTTCTAATAGAAGATATATGCACATTTACATCAACAGTGGCAAGAGCTACCTCCAGATGTTGAAATTCTGGGGTTCCTAGAGACTTCTTTTAGCATCTTAACAGCCTGGCAAAATGGAAAGAAAAAAATGTTTAATCAGAAATAAAATGGGATCTATTTAAAATATATCAGAAAACTCATTACATAAACATTATTATTGTTTTTGTGTTTTGATATTGACATATAAAGAGTTACACATCATAATAACTCGTTATAATTGTATTCATATACTATTCATCTAGAATTTCGTTGACATTGCTGTATGCTGGCTATTGCCTTCTGATGTTAGCCCCTCTGCATGTCAGACCAAATTTGCAACCCAGTGTCAGTATTTAATGCATCCTTTTTTTGATTCTTTACTTCAAGCTCTTTGCATCAGTATTAAGCAGAGAATGCCCACATTTTGATCAGACAGGCTACTAGCACCTGAGAGATAATAAAGGAAATAATGGTGTCGATTCCAAGAGTTGATTCCATCAAAAAATTCTCGATTCCAAAAATTTATAAATAAACCCACTTCACACATGAACTTTACACACTAATTTAACAGTAATTAAATGGGAAGGGATTACATGTGAGTTGAAATGCTGGGAAGACTGACGCAGCAATTAATCTGCACGAAATCTAATTTAGTACAATTCCTGCACAATTACGAAAATCTCACGTGTAGAACTGTCAGTGCTTAAAGCTGACTGAAAAAAGTTGACGGTGGGTCAACCGAAATAAGTTAACGTTGAAAAGCTGGGTTGAGGTTAAAGAGAAGTTAGATCGTTGTTCTGCCAATTGCTGATGGAGAAACAACTCTCCTCTTAAAGGCGCAAACACCCTCTTTTCACGAGGCTGCAGGCTTTGTATTCGACTTTTCCGTTACACTTTGAATGATGCACTAGTTACCTTAAGGGTCCGCCAGCGCCAGAAAGTAATTACAGCACCATGTAAGGTGGAACCGAAAAAAAGGGAGTCGATCTGGTCGAAGTGTCGACTCCGAGCAGATCAGTTGTAGCTGAGTTTCCACAGCGCTTTTGGGTCTGTACGTTGCACGTTGATTTTTATTCATTATTTAACTTAAAACTGGACCTTTCAGAGCGAACAAACATCCAAACTTATTATAACATTAAGAAACCAACCTGTGGACCGCCTACGGACCCGTGGCGTCTGAATAACTGTTAATTGCAGGGCGCCCTCAAGCAAGCTAGCTAGCAAGGTAGGTTAGCTTTAAGTTAACTAGTTAGCTAGCTAGCTGGCTAGAAAAGGACCGTTCATCCTGGAAAGAATCTAGAAAACACGAAGCAAAGAGAACATGATGTCTGTGGGATGGAAATCTACTGGAGACATAAAAAGATCTCTTGTTTACAAACTTATCGATCTCGAAAATGCCAGAAACGCGATGAACGAAGAGTTATATCACTTTACGGAAAAGGTAGGAGAAATAAAGCTTGGAAAACCTTGGACAGTGTTCTTTCAGCTTGGTGGCGGGCGTTGTGGTTAGCCGTAGTTAGCTAGCTAGCTAGCTAGTTAACGTTAGTTATGACCGGTTCGCTGAGGGAAAGAGGCATTTTGGTTTAGACATATTAGGAAATTGAATTTATAAGTAGGTAAATAATGAGTACATAATAGTTAGCAACCGAATGTTTTATAGCTAGCTACCTTTGAGTTAACGTTAACTTAATGTGTAGCTAGCTAACGTTAGTCGTAAACTATTTAGTATAGACCACTGTAAGTTAGTCGTACGTCATTCTGTAGTCCTCGTTACGCCCATATTAGGAACTCCGGGTCTAAGCTCCATTTCTCTATGTCCCGAATTAATAGGGTTTTCGAAAAATCGTCTATATCGCACCATGTGTTAAATAAAAATGTTCAGAACCCGATACCTTTTGTTCTGTGTACATTTTCTCCCGAATACCACTGGATCCTCCGAATTACGAGGTTGAAGAGCTAGCTATAATACTAATATTGCTACATGCGAGCTAAAGCTACTGCGCATCAATTTGATGTTCACTAAGTTACACGCAACTAAGGCGGACTGTGGCGGTGCTCTGACGAGCTGTGCTACCTTATCGAAATGGTCTACTGTCACGCATATTTACGGGTATACCTGTAAATAAAACCTCTAGGTGGGATATTGTGAAATTTGATCAAAAACACTACCCGTGTTAAAACTACGAGGCTGAATTTAGCTTCTTTTTGTTTGAACGTTCCCGTTCCATCTTAAATGATGCTGTGAGTAGCTATTACAAACATAAGCAAACGAGACAAAATACTGACCTATCGGTTCTGTGAAGCAGCAAAAATAAGTTAACGTTACTCAGCTGTTAAGCGGAAGCAGAGAAATCTCCTCAAATCATGCCTCTCAAGCTTCCATGAAGCTGAAGCCAGCTGCTTTTTCGCCGGCTGCTTGTTCGAATTTCCCCGTTCCACCTTAAATGGCGGAACGGGTGGTGGAACGGGAAAAGTCGAACAAAAAGCTGGCGAATGTCCTCAGATAAATGTTAACAGCATTAAAATAAAAATTAGGATATCTGATAGCCGAAATCAGTTTATCAGGGGGTGATAACCTGCTCAAGGAGGTCTAATGACATGAATTCAGTGCGCAGTAGCATTAGCTTACATGTAGCAATATTCATATTTGAACTCTTTAACGACTTCGTAATTCAGGGGATCCAGTGGTATTCGAGAGGAGAATGTTTATAAGACAAAACGTATCGGGTTCTGAACATTTTTATGTAACGCAGGGTGCGATAGAGGCGAAAGCCCTGTTCATTCTGGCCATAGAGAAATGGAGCTTAGACCTGGAGTTCCTAATATGGGCATAAGAACATGGCGCCGACTACAAAATGACATCACTGCAGCGGTCTAATAAAGGTAGGTTAGCGGTTAGCTTAATTATTTGACTCAAGGAACAGTTAGAGATTAATGTAACACATGGAAGTGTCTCCAGATTATCCTGTATCGTTAACTCTTCGGTCCGTTACCTGTCAATATAGAACTACTAAACTCTAATTTTACAGACAGGTGAGGAGATTGAAGAATTTCTGAACTCTCCCGCTTCGACTCGCGCACATGATGGTGCAAATATGTTGAAGACATTAGATGCCAAATGTCGTGTGATAAAGGAACTGATGACGGTCTTTGAAGGCCTTAAGTCAGGTATGGAATCCGTCAAATGTAACGTAGGGTATATGTAGGTGTGAGGTTTTAGAGATTTAAGGTTTACAAAACTTAACAGTTTTCCATTTGTATGTTTAGCTTCAGAGCCTCAAAGCATGAGGAAGCTTCATCTGCCACACAGAATCAGCCTGTCGCCTCAGTGTGTGCTCCACTTCAATCACAAGAGAAGTCGTCAGAATGGAGTGTTTATTCCAAATGTTTTGAAGTTTGGGCCCTTGCTACAAAATGTCATTCAGGAAAGCTCAATTACAAAAGCTGTGCAAATTATTGGAGCAACACTCTCTCTTCAACAAATGGCTTTGTCACTTGAATCTGAGAAAGACAAATCATCTGGCAAAATCTCAACAAATTATGGCACTGAAATTGAGTTATTAAACCAAGATGATTCCAAAAAGAGTGAAATGGAAACTGCCAAGCACAACATGCAGGAGAACATCGTTGCAACAGAAGCTGAAACTCTGAGGAATATTGCAGACATCTCTCCAAGCTTGACTCAGAATGTAACCACTCACATCTTTGAGCCTCAATTAGGAAATGAACCTGAAGTTCAGCACCAAAAACAAACCTCCTCTCAGCTCATGCGTTTTCTTAGAATGAATGGAAGGACAAAGAACTTGCCTGAGGTCAGTTTATTTGGTTCTGTAGAGAGGGCCTTTGTGTTAATGCAGCGACAGAAAATCAATACTGAAGCAATGGATCTGAAGAGAATAACATTATATACAACACAAAAGAGGCAGTCATTCTCTGAGATGAAAGTTTCTGGACCCATCTTCAAAGTAAAA